TGTATATACGCACCTGACTGCTCCGCGGTAGTACAGCCTTGCTATTTACTTGCTGCGCTTGTGATTGAGCCTGACGCCTGACTCCTAAGCATGCACTGCACCCTGCGAGCTGCAGACTGCGGATGGAACGCTTGTAGAAGAAGGAGCAACAGCTGTAAAATATTTGTTGCCCTATCAATCCTTGGAGCTGAGCTCTGTCAGGACCACACAATAAGCATCATCTTTCTTACACCGTTCAATGCTAGCACTTAGGCGCAAGAGAATGTACGATACATACAGGGAGAAACAACAAGACTCGGGGGAACTGACAATATCGTTCTACTCGGCATCTGTCGGCAGACCCAATTGGGAACGGTGTCAATACCCATGCCCTCGACTCTCGAACCTCAAACGGTGAAGTAGAAGAGCCATTGGTCCATTTCTTACGAAGTACTGCGACTTGGTGAGCGCCATTTTCTCCCTTTGAGTTTCTGCAACTTATGTAGCTTACTGATTTTCCTTCAGTGCCAAGATATTCACCAGCACCATTTGTCGCCGGGCGTTGTTGCCACCGTCAGGCTGCCACTCTTGTAGACATTGGTTGCATCATGCCACAATACTGGCTAATGAAGGCCGAGCCGGACTCACGCATCGTGAAAGGAAAAGATGTCAAAGTGCGGACGAACCTCTTCACTTCAGTGTGCTTGTCTTGTGTGATCTCACTTCTGTCCTGTTTGTCGTCCACAGTTTAGCGTCGATGACTTCGAGTCAGCAAAGACGACGTCCTGGGAAGGCGTGCGCAATCACGAGGCAAAAAATCTCATGAAAAGCATGAAAATTGGGGATAAGGTATGCTATACACACGGTCGCTGTTGAATTTTACACCTTGGCTTATTCATACGTCGAGGTGTTATTTTATCACTCGAATTGCAAATCCCCAGGTAAGTTTGAATTGTCTCGATAATATCAGTCGGACTGACGTGCAGGTCAGGTGTTGCAGGGTTTGCCGAGGTGCGTGCATGCCTATAAAGCTGATCTTCAATGTGAACTTCTATTCTGCTCTTCGGCTTACAGATTTCGAAAGAAGCACACCCTGACTGTAAGTCACTCAGTAGCTATGATCAGGGCTGAACATAGCTGACAATGACCCTAGACACGGCATGGGACTCGTGCGTGCTAGACCTCCATGCATCTCAATGTCTCTGCGACTGAAACCAATTCGCCCAGTGAACACCCATACTATGACGCTGTGCGCACGAAGCCAAACCCCTGCCAACCACCAGACTGATTAACAAAACTGCTAGAAATCCGACAAAGACAATCCAAAATGGTTTATGGTTGACGCGACGTTCGTTGCCAGAGCAGCACACTTCGTGCCCCTCGCTCTTTTGCGACATGTCGCCGACGCGACTACAGGGGACCCTCCCGAGGAGATTGAGTACATCGGCAAGGACGGCGTCAAATCCATCAAAGGTGCGTAGTCTGTGTTCTACGTCGTCTAGCTATGCGGCGTTACGTATAAGTAGCTCACTATCAAATGCGTGTACAGGCATGGCGCTAGTGAACCGGGGCCATCTGAGCGTTCAAAGAGTAGAAGAGGACGCATGGAACGTGGTGCAGCAGCTGGCCGAGAAGGGCGGGTGGGACGACATGAATTTCGGGAAAACGAAGGGCAAGGCTGCGGCGAAGAAAATGACGAAAAAGGCCGACAAAGAAACCGAGAGCAAGAGCAAGGGTAAAAACGACGAGGAAGCAGACGAACCGGAGGCTGCAGCCGCTGGAGGGCGCAAGCGCAAGGCTACCGACGTGCAAGAGGAGACACCACAGCGAAGATCCACTCGGCGGAAAGTAGAGCCTCGTTCTTGAGTCACTGCCAAAATATCCTACATACGACATAATAATACGCCGAGCCCAAAATAAAGATAGCTATCTACTCCTTGGCAATTGGTGGTACAACATTGGAATTTTGTGAGTCCGTAGTCCGTCCCGTCCCGCTATGGGCGGTGTCGGTGACAGCGCTCGCTCTTAAGCGCTGCCCGTGTGCAGTCCCATCTCGTGCGCAGCGGGTGTTGAGGCTCTCGCAAGCTGCTGCTCGATCTCGAAGCTGACGTCGTAATCGACGAGGCAGCTACGTGCATGCGCCGCGCGGATATTCAAGATCAGGCGATGGCTGGCGATAGTGGTGACTGACAGCGAAGACCTATTAAAATATTAGCGTCAAAGATGCAGCAGTCGAGGATCCCTCTTACATGATAGCGAGTGCACTGTGTCGTGTCTGTTCAAAATATGGTGTAAATCTCATATAAACGCGTGACGAACATCGAATCATTGCTCACAAGTGCTGAGGTTGACCACATCGCGATGTTGATGATGTTGATTGACGCAGTAAGCTGGAGCAAAGAGTTAGCAGGGCTGCACAGTCGCAGTATCTGGACCAGGCGTACTACGAAGTAGAGCAGTCCTGTATTGCACCATACGTGAGCACGCACGTCTGCTAAAGGCAATATGGAAACCCACCATCTCGGACAATGATGCGGACCAACGGACACCAATGAGCGTTTGCCCCAAGGTTTCTTCGTATGCTCCAGCATGTTAATGCGAAGACTATACATTCCAGTAGAAGGCTACAGTAGACGAGCTAAGTCCCCTCAGGACAGGATAAGTAAATGAAAAGGCATACCTGCCAAACCAAATGAGCCACTGCGCAATGTGTCAATACATAAGCCATAGTATATATTTCTTGAATTCATAGAGCGTACCATTGGCTCTACAAAGAGGTCAGCGCTAGGCGTCAGGGATTTAAGTAAAACATGTGCGTACGGTATATATTTGAAGCGCACACCCCTAAAGAACACTGAGAAAATCAGGGAAAACGAGAAAGACAGTTTCTCACCTTTCGCGATCGAGGGGCGGACACTTAAGAAAGCCGTTATCAAGGCTGCATAGCATACTAACAAGGCGACTAGGGCTAGGGCTACTCCGCGATTCCGCCGCCAGACGGCCCATGCTTTTATGACCACTAAAACTGTATGCAGCCGTGTTAGGAATGTCCAAAACACACATATGTCCTCGCTCACCATGCATCAGACCGAAAGATATAAACACGAGAATGCCTAGCACCAATCCGAAGTTAGCGCAAAACTGCCTTTAGGCATCAGTATAAAAATTCATTAAACTCATAACCAGGCAAACATACGCGGTCCGATTTGTGTGCAAACATGTGTGCCTGCTCGGCGACGCCGATGGAGATCAAGCCAATATTGCCATAACGTGTGAGGAGAAATATTATTTTGACGCTGGTCCAACGCGATGGCCAAATATACTTGACCTGGCAGCCGAGACGTTTAACACGCGAGAAAGGGGACAAGGGGCTGTTCTAATGTACACACCTCGTCCTCCAAGGTCAAGAAGTACTCGTATACAATGGCACTAAAGGAAACCCATCCGAGTGCTCTGCATTGCATCGTTTAGTTGTCTATTTCGTTGAGGGGCCTAAGTTACAAAGGAGGCGTACCGGTTTATCATAGCTCGCAGCACCACCGCACGGATTGTGTTAAGGTGATCCTAGTGGTGTCAATGGCGCGGACAGCAGTCTCACCGTTAGGTGAGGCCAACAACGCTCAGAGACATCAAGCAGGGGAAGGGAGGCAAGGGTGCGTTGTCTAGCGTGCGCGTTTTCATAAGAACGCTTTGACAAACGGTAGTATTGTCAGAGTTTGCGTCCGCACCCAGCAGCCAAGATGGTCCCTATTCAAGAAAGGAGGCGGGTCATCGATGCTCCTCCGAGTCGAACGCGATCGCCAAGGAGTCCAGACGAGGCGGGTGCAAAAAAAAACAAAAATTAGGAGTCAAACACCAAAAACCTATGCTGTCTTACCTAGGACCAATGCATGCGCATGTCAACTCACATTGTAAGACGCCCGTAAGAGTTTGAGGGCAAGGATGCCCATCCTGTTATAATGAATCTCTATGAATTTGCATTTCATTATCGATAAGTCTGCGCGTCGAAGTCAGGCCAGAACGGATTCCGACCACGAGTCTTGAAGCTTGACGCATGACACGCAGTGATCGAGATGGCGAGCGGCCCCGCAGTTCAAAATTGTCGCTACCAATTACATTCGTTCTGAGACGATCCTGAGATACAACAGATTAAAAATTCTAGAACACTCAATTTACGCATCATAGCCCGGCGGCAGATCTTCAGGAGCCCCTCCTGGTGCGAGCTGTGCAGCCGACGATCCTGCGGCACGACCCGGAGCAGGTGAGGAATATACCGCTGAAGAGAAGCGGACAGTGTAAGCCAAGATCCAGGGGACATGCAAGTTGCGCAGACTCACGCAGGCCCTCCTCCTCATCCTCGGCTGCTTGCCGCTTCATATATATCACTCGTTCGCGCGTCTTCTCCAAGGTGCTCACGAAGCCAAACAGTGCCTGGTCCTTGAGACGCAGCTCTGCTTTCGTGCCATCGGTTAGGCCGCCATCCGGTGAGGGTTTGATGTCGAAAGACAGATAGTTGGCGCCTAGGAACGGTTGCTCGAATTTCGTGGACAGTATAGAGTGCAGTGGTATAGAGAGCGATTCAAAATAGGATTTCTCGCCAACGGGTGCAGCGAAGATTAACTAGAGATAAGCAGAGCAGACAACACGGTCAACCAAAGATCCACAATGACAGTTGCATTGAAAAGAGCACGCACACGTTGGTCGGTGAGCCAGACGCGACCCACCCCCTTCATCTTCTTCGAGCCTCCAGAGCCGCCTGCGCGAGCGGAATTCGAGGGGGGTGCGTCGGGGATAGTGAGGGCGATTTCTGCCCCCGATTCGACATATGTTATAGTGTTCTCGTTTGGCAAAGGGACATACTGTCCCTCAGGATTGAACATGGTCCAGTTGAGCGCCATCGTGGTTGTAACAGAGACAGAGGTGCACTGTGCACAGCTATCGAGGTGGTGTGCATTCCAACTATGCTCGTTCTCAACTCGTTCTTACTGAGTTGTCCTCGTGGTTTTTTGTCGTCATGCCATGGCTTCCTGGCGCAATGGTTAGCGTGTTTGGCTTCGATCGCTTAACAGCTCCTAGACACCAAGAGGTTGTCGGTTCAAGTCCGGCGGAAGTCTAATGGTTTCAACTTTTTTGCACTTCCAGGATGTGGCCGTGAAAAAATACGCGGCGAGGTTTGGGTTGACACTCAATGCAAGCTAATTACACACACAAAGAAACCTAAGGACCAATTATATTGTGTACATCGCACCTAAAACTTACCCTCCCATGAATTATCGTAGCTCCTTTGGCGGTATCCACTCTGGAACCTTTCCCCACTCGAACTTCTCACTCTCGAACGCAGCGCGCACGGCCTTTGGCAGTAGCTGCATGTAGTTATCTGGGAGTAGTGCGTCGTACTGACTCACGCCCGGCTTGTACGTCGCTTTCACGCTCTTGGCGTCGGGCTGCGGTTTCGCCGGCAAGGATGCAGGCGGTTGATTGAAGGCAGAGGTCGGTTGGGGCTGAGAGGGGGCGAACGCAGATTGCGGGGCCTGCCCAAACGCCGATTGTGTGGGTTGCGGCGCGAACGCCGATGTCGTGGCTTGTGGTGCGAAAGCCGACGTGGCTGGCTGCTGTCCAAATACCGACGTTGCTGACTGTTGTCCAAATGCCGATGGCGCTGCGTTGGTATTCGTATTAGAAAAGGCGCTGGGCGCCGCATTCGTTGCCGAGCCAAAGGCAGAGACAGATGAATTTCCGGTAGACCCAAAAGCAGAACCACCCCCAAAGACGGACCCGCTCGCTCCCTGCGGCTGCGCGGGCGCGCCGAATGCGGAGGAAGCACTCTGCACAGGTGCACCGAAGGCTGACAACGCACTTTGCGCCGGCGCAGGGTTCCCAAATGCAGAGGGCGTCGTCGATGCGGACAGGTTGCCAAAGGCTGACTGGCCGAAAACTGATCCTCCAGACGGAGCAGATGACGCGCTGGCGTTGTTTGTCGGCGCAGCTGCCGATGCACCTATTCCGAACGCCGAGGGCTGGCCCGAAAATGCCGAGAAACCACCCCCGCCAGAACTACCCCCTCCGCCACCGCCAAACGCGGATTGGCCCGAGGCAGATGAGCCTCCAAACGCAGTCGCAGGCTTTATGAGAGACGACTGCGGTGTTGATGTTTGACCGAACGCCGATGTTGGTTGTGAAGGCTGGCCGAAGGCAGATTGACCGAACGCGGACGTGGGTTGTGCGAGTTGACCAAAAGCGGATGTAGGTTGTGCGGGCTGACCGAACGCTGTTGGCTTGGAGCCCGAGGCTTGGCCAAATGCTGGTTGCCCAAACGCCGGTTGCCCAAATGCTGGCTGACCGAATGCGGACGTTGTGGCGGGGGCACCAAAGGCCCCCGACGAGTTGTTTCCCAGCGCACCGAATGCAGACGGTTTACCAAATGCAGAGCTAGACGCGGACCCTCCAAAAGCGGAACCGGTATTTGCAGGAGCAGCTGGGGTTGCAGATGAGAACCCGCCGATCGACTGGCCTCCCCCTTTCGAGCTAGAGCCTTGGCTGATTGCTTTTTCGTAGGCCTGGCCTACATTTGCGAGCGCGTTGGAGTATAATTGTTGGGCAGCCGCTATCTTGCTACTCTCATATTGCGACTAAGCAACCAGTGGATGTCTGTCAGATAGAAGGGGATTAAATTAAATCATAACGCACATACTCGTCAACCGCATTTTTCTGGAGGGCTGTGACGGCCCGGACACGGAGTTCCTCGAACGACTCGTCCAGACCTGCTATAAGCAAAGGCTCGTATTTTGCTGGTGCATATGATGACAGCGGCCAGAGAGGTTTCTCATGTTGAGGACTGAGATCCTTGGTCATAGAGTCTGCGCTATTCCAACGAATGAGTGCCATCATAATAGAAAGGCATGGAGGCACATACCTAAACAGGTTGGTAGCCTGTTTATCGCCCGTATTCGTGTTTGCGGTCCATGATGTATCTGTGTATTGCGCGATGAGTATCCTTGTCCCATTGACCGAGATGCAACTCACTTCCAAAACCGCCTTGCCGTTGGCCGTCCTTTGGATGCTCGTTATGGCACTTGTCCCCGAACCTGCACTGGCCGCGCAGAAAAAATTGGCATACAACCTGCACAACCGGGTTAGAATACGCGTAAGATCGACGCGATAAGCCCTGAACTTGCCATCTACGATACAATCATGGACGATACGGCGTTTTGTGACTTCTGTCCGTCGTGGTCAAGAGCAGGTACAAATCCGAACTACGAACCGATAGCGCGCAATTTGGTGCTTGCACGCTCTGTGCACGCTTGCTTTCCTCCTTCTGCTACTTACCTGCTTCTACTCAAAATACTGATCCCCTTGCCAATATACTCGTAACAAAACGACAGGAGTACCGCCGCCCAACCATTCGTTGCCTTCAAAGCTTTTCTGCAACGCCCGTGCTCAAGGGTACCCAACATGAAGTCCGAAAATGACACCAACCAGCCGCCGTCTACTCCTCAACAACAGCAATCGCAACAACAGCAGCAACAGCAGCCGCACAATCCTTATGCGACCGCACAATGGGGTCAAGGACGTGAGTTGCCCTTCGGCTTTAGTGGAGACGGAAGTCTGAAGCCCTTTGACTAGACATCCCAATCGACCCGGCGCTCCAACAACAATCCCAGCATGCCACGTAAAGCACAGTCCCATTGACAATGCAGGTCTTTGTTAAACGGCGTTTAATACAGCACGACGCCGTATGCACACTATCAGTACAGCACCCACTACCCCCAAGCCGCTGCCTATCCTACGCATTACCAGCAATACGCACCGCAGCCGCACCAACAGCCTGCTACACCCCAGCCCCAGCAGCAAGTCCAGCAGATGCCACCGAGGCAGACGCCGGCTCCCGCACCCGCAAATAATGGAATGGACACGGCGGACATAGCGACGTTAAACGATGCGCTTGGAAGTGCGGGGGTCGATCTTCGAGTGCGTGCCAGTTTCTAATCCGCCGTTCATTGTGCTCATATACATGCACAGGCAGAAGAAGAGACCCTACAAAGGAGTTACGAGCAACATCAGACGTACCGACCGTACGAAGACCGCTCGCGCAAACAACCACTGAACCCGCAATTCGATACGCGTTTCCTCGGCCCCACTATGCGCGCCCTCGGGACGCAGCACAAGATCACGCAGATCCCCGAAGACTCCGTCAACTACGTCGCGCTTGCCCTGCGCGCCCGGCTTGAGGACCTGGTCAGGGGCATGATAGCAGCCGCGCGCCATCGCACTGACACTCAGTTCGACCGCCCCGCCTCGCTGTACGAAGATGGGACGCCGATGTGGGGCATCATCGTCAAGAGCGATGTCGCGAAGCAACTCGCCGCGCTAGAGCGCGCCGAGCGGGAGGAGGAGACGAAAGTGCGGCGGGAGCGCAAGGAGCGTGCGGAAATGACCGCGGCGCACGCCGCAACACTTGCGGCACAGGCGGCTGGCGGCGGGAACGGCATGGCGGTGGACGGTGGATACGACGATGCGGACGGGGGTGCGAAGAAGAAGCGCAAGAAGGACGGGCCGGGCGTCACGGCGCGCAACATGTCCGAGGACGTACGCAAGAAGATGTCCAACGCCGTCGCGAGTCAGGCTGCCGGTCTCGGCGGCAAGTACTCGTGGATGAGCGCCTCGAACGCTGCGGCGGGGACGCCGAAAGCTAAGCGCGAGGCTACAAGTGCCCCGAGCCCCGCGATGACGACGACACCCGCGGCTCCTCCAGGAGGCGCGGGGAGTACGTGGGCACGCCCGTATGTCAAGACGCAAAAATCGTCGACACCCGCACAGCAGTCCCAGGACGATACACGGACAACAATCACGATGAGAGATGCCATCTTCGTTGTGGAGAAGGAGAGAGGGCACGGCGGAGGCAAGGGCTCTGCGAGGGGGTGGACTTGACGATCGTTTGCTTTCAACGCTATTCACCTTGTATTTTTTGACTTGTATCCTTATTTCCATGCTTTCTGAGTACATTCTGCGTTTTGCAGACCTGCAGTACTTCATCTTACTGATGATCAACTCACTTTTGTGGCGTACTGACATGGTTTTGGCGAAATGTGGCAGGGATGTTTGGCGCCGTCCGGAAAACCAAACAACGCCTACGAGATCGGGGGACATCTTCGTACTTTGCGGCGTCGATGAATCAATTTTGCCTGCGGCGCCCGCTGGGCTCGATCGCGAGTAGCGTACAGTACGGCTCGCCGGTGCTGCCTCCCCCTCTTCCCGGATAAAGAGCAAGAACGGTGGATATATTGATCCCCAATGACCGTCTCATAAATGGGCATTACAAGCTACAGCACTACACTACCCAGTAGAACACGCGCCACGCCCACCCACTATATCGTTTACTAATGCGGCGGATCCGCTGCTCGTCGTCCACCTTATCATCGATCTCCTCCTCGTGCTCGTCGCGCCGCAGATCCACCGTCCGGATGTCCACGAGGTCGCTGTACCACCACCCGCTGCGGGAGGGCGTCGTCTCGGGGGACAGCGCGGAGCTCGGGAGCGGGCGCTTAAGGAGCATCCATACCACGTACATCACCAGCATGACGGGTATCTCGATGTAGAACGACACGAAGTCGACCGCAGTGAATGACGGGTAGAATGACGACCACCCTTGGACTGCAAATAAATTTGTTTGAGTCAGTTTTACGGTTCGCACTACTTCTTTCCGCGGAGATGCGTACCGAGGATGAGGATGGTGACGGTGATCACGACAAAGGGCGGGCCCCAAGGCCATGTCCAGCCTGCGCGGAACTTGAGCTCGCTAAGTGGCCGCCCCTGCCGCACCCATGCCTTCCTAAACCGCCAGCTCGCCATTCCGATCGACAGCCAAGCGATCTACAGATCCAAGTCAGCCCAGTGAGCCATCTTTGCAAAAAAGAGGCCACGCGCACCTGGTTGGAGACACCGACGATGTTCTGGAGCCAGCCCCACAGCTCCCCGCTGCCGATGAAGCTACTGCCGAAGCACAGCCCGCTGATGCTGCCGGTGAGCAGAAGAGCGGGTAGGGGGACACCGCTGCGCGTAGTCCAGGCAAATATGCGAGGTGCTTGTGCATTCGGGACGGTGACAGCGAGTCCGT